AGGTAGCTGTAGATTCTCCACTACTTCAATATGAAGAGGAAACAGGGAGATACTAATTACATTTTTTAACCAGCCTTCAAATGATTATACTTCACCAGTACAATTCAAATCTAATATGTGACATCAAAAAAACAAAAAAAAAAACAAACAAAACCCATAAAAATAATAGCCACTTTTTTTTTAAATGACTGTTAGGTATAGGTAAATTGTATATTCACATTTCACTCTCTCACAAAACTCTGAAATGCACACATACAAACACAGAAGGAATGTCATGAAACTTGAGATTACCCAAGAGAAGAAGGGCTCTCCATATCTATGGTTATGTATAACTTCAGAATAAAGCTTTAAAGCCTAAATACATTTCTGATAACTTAATAAAATTATTTTCAGTATAATTGTCTTATAATGCAACTTTGTTTTGCACCCAAAGGATGGGCCTGCACAAATCAATATGCATAATATTAAAACAAGATTTACCTCTATTGTAGGATCATATTCATCCACAAAGTGATTCTGAATTAGCTGTATCGTCAAGGCACTCTTGCCTACGCCACCAGCTCCAACTACCACAAGTTTATATTCAGTCATTTTCAGCAGGCCTTATAATAAAAATAATGAAAATGTAACTAAATTAGAACAAGTGTCACAATGAGTTTAATAGAAGCCAAACACTCTATCAATACCTTTTAACACAAACTCACCTTTATATGGAAAATTATTTCAAAATATCTCACAAAATTCAATAAAAACTTCAGATGAGTACGGATGTGTATTGTAATGAAACACACTATATTTACAAACTTGCCCATTCAACATTTCAGAAAGATGCATTCAGAGTACCAAGTTCTTTTATCATATATTCAGGTTGTTCTATCTAAACAGCCAGTCTGCTGTTCTATAGCAGTTAATGGCTCTCAAAGGAACATGCCATGACTTTACTCAGTACAAGTGTCTAGCACAATGCTGTATACCCTGTGGACACACCCACATAAAACTGTTGACAGCTATCTCTCCTAGTTGGCTATGGCCCCTAAGAGTTACAACTGGATATGTGGAGTGTCTTTGTTGGAGCCAAGAGCTACAGAAAACTTTAAAAAAGAATCATCATATAGTTCTCCTGAGTAGTTAGAAAGAATCAGACAGTGGGGTGGGAGTGGAAGGGGGTGGAAGAATTGTCAAATAAATCTCACTGTATAGTGAGAAAATAAAAATCAGTTAAAAATAATTAAGGAAATAAAATTGTGAACTAAAATAATAAAGATAGATAGATAGATAGATAGACTGATTGATTTCAGAGAGGAAGGGAGACGGAGAGAAAAATAGAAACATCAATGATGAGAGAGAATCATTGATCGGCTGCCTCCTGCACACCCCCTACTGGGGATCGAGCCCGCAAGCTGGGGCATGTGCCCTTGACCGGAATCAAACCCAGGACCCTTCAATCTGCAGGCTGACGCTCTATCCACTGAGTCAAACCAACTAGGGCAAGACAATAATTGATGAACAATTTAATCTGTAAAATATCTGCTGGGAAAAATAATGGTATAAAAACTAAGAGAACTTTGAGAATTTTGAAATTTTAAGCACAGTTGATTTAATCATCAATCACAACATATAAATCTATATTAGTGCTGAAAAATAGTACTTTGCACAAGAAAAAATATAATTATATAAAATATAAAAATAAGCACTGCTTTTAATAAGAAATTTTTTAAAAGATGTGAGTGAATAGTTCTCAGGAATCCACATGACTTTTACTCTTTGCATCTCATCATCTCCCAACAGTTGCAATAAATATTGACAATTTGTAAGGTTATCAGTACAAGACAAAAAATATTTTTTAGTCAGTTGTTTCAAACTTTTTGAAATAAAATGAATTTAATTTTATCTTCTCTCCCTCAATAACTACATGATATTATTACAAATAAGGAACCATGGAAAGAATGGCAGTAAATGCACAATTTATTATAAGTAGTCCCAAATTAATGAATGTGCAGATATAAACACTATATACACACAGCACCCTATTTACTGAAAGCCAAAAATTATCCACCAAATAGTCACAGGAAAATAAAAGATAATATGGTTTTCTAAATGATAATATACTAACCACCTCCTTACCCTATTCCTGAGCCCTCTCACAGAGAGCATACAGGCTAGGCAACTGTTGTTATCAGAGACTGTTATATTACAGATCCCTGGCCTATGCCACCATAGCCTTACTTGCTCTTGTCTAGGGTCACCGTGGGAGCCACTTCAAACATGTATCTCATTCTGTTTGCTCCCACTTTTTATTCCAAATACAGACTATAGCAAATGGAATAGGTGAGGAGAATCACACCATAATGTATCCCTGCAAAATAATTTGGATAGCCTAGCTCTCCAAAAGTGGTCCAGGAACCCATTAGGCTTCCCAAGGCTTTGGGGGGGAAGAGGGTCCAAGAGGTTAAAAACGATTTTCATAAAAATTCTACATTATCAATTACCCCTTCCACTCTTGTTCTTTCACAAGGGTACGGTGGAGTTTCCCAGATGTGTGATCTGAATGCAGAAGCAGGCATGAGGATCCAGATGTCTCCTAGTGTCATATAATTAAGATTTGCAAACGTGTTAAACAATGCCCCCTTCTCACTAACTTTTGTTTTTGTTTTGAAAAAATTATTTTTAGTTAAAAAAAGCTATTTATGTTACCAAGTAATGGGCTTCTTGTTTCTATTTTTAAATGAATTAAGAACTGTTTAAAAGTCTCCGTTTTTGTTTCTGTGATGGTAAATATTGACATACCACACGATGAGATCTCCAATAACTTTTGAGAATATAAAAGGACCCTTACACCAAAACAGTTTGCTAGCCTAGATCCCGTGGACAGAGACTGGATTAGAACTTGTGAACCCTGAAACACACCTTCTGGTCTACTTGTTGATGAGTGGTTGTTTCTGGGGACGGGGGACTCCTTTAACTGGATTATAAAGTCAAGTAATATTTAAGTCCAGGAGAGAAAACTGGGTTCCCAAGGAAGCTTACCGAGGATCACATGCCAGAAGGAGCCCCCTCACCCAAAGCTACAAAAGCTAGCTAGCAAGGGGTGGAAATGTGATCAGAGCACAAGATCTAGTCAAGGGAAGAAAAAATCACTTTTATTTATCATCTCATCTCCTACCTCTTAAAACCAAGTATGCCTGCGGATGGCTAGTCTCAAAGCAAGCAGCACTACTATCAACCATACTGGATGTCTCTGTTGGAGTCAGCATTTGGGGCCTAAGAGTGACATCTCTCGTATGGTTGATTCTGAGATGACTATTAGGAACAGATTCTGCACCTTTACAATTTCTTTTTAAATGAATGTTTCCATTACAAATGTAACACTGGGTAAAAATGAGCAAACACCTCTCCGTTTTTAACCCCTTGTTTTGATGGACATTAAGATGTAAGGTTCATTTAGGACTTCAGCTATAGCATGCACCTGCCTTAGGGTATTCCAGGCAGTGGGCTGGAAGATTGCTACAATGAACTCCTCCCGTAGCTCAGTTTTAAGGCAAAAATTTTTTTGGTGCCGTTTAAGAGTACTACCTCTTAAGATGAGGGTCAAACCTGCCAGGACGCGGGTAACATCGAAGAGGTAAGGGCAAGGACAAGAGCCGGTCAATTAAACTTCGAGGACGGTGCCGGCTGCAACTGCCTACACAAGGGGAAAGCCCCGCTTCTGCTCTGCGGGTGTTCTGCGTTGTGTTTTTAACTTGACAAAGCAAAACAGAGCAGACCTCCCGGGATGAACTTTTTCCTGAAGTCACGGGCTGTCCACTGCAGGGTGTGGGCCACCTGTTCTTCCACCACCGTCCCTACCTCCTCCTTTGTGGCCACGGCAATGTCACAGCCAGGCCTGGGGGAGGGGAGCCGTCAGGAACTCGGCTGCAGATGCATTTTTTTTCTCCCCAAACACAATAACCTCCAACAGGGGTCTCCGAGCACTTTCCTAGGCTCTTCCCGAACGTGACCTCCCCCGACTCCTCTCCCCGCTTCCACGGTGACAAGGGGCCACCAGCCGCCGGGTCCGCGCTCGGGGAGAAGTTTATTCCTTCGTCCTCGAGATGCTCCGTGCAGCGGAGAAGGCAGCCCCGAGGCCAGCCGGGCGCGGGGCGGGGGAGGAGAGGTGCGGGAGCGGAGGGAGCGGGAGAGGAGGGCGCCGAGGGGGAGGGGAGGCCGCGCGCGGGGAGGGACGGCCACCGCACCCGCCGCCCCGCGGGGCAGCCCGCCCGGCCCGCGAGTGTCTGCCCGGCCGCCTCCCCGGCTCTCGGGGAGGAGGAAGGAAGGGGTTCCCCGTCCAGGAAGCAGTACCAGCGGCGACCGCCTCGAGCCTCACCCTCCTCAGCCCCGCACCGCCTAGTCCTCCTTCCCCGCGTCGACGCGCCCCCGCGCCTCAGACCCCCGCCCCTCGCCCCCCGTGCCCGGCCCCCGCCCTCCCGGCTCCCGCGACCCTCTCCGCCCCGCCCGCCCGCCGGCCCCGGCCTCAGCTCGCACACCCCCCGCCGCCGCAGCAGCCTCCGCCGCCGGAGCGGGGAGGAGGAGGGTGAAGGGAGGAGGAGGAGCGGGAGGGGGGCGGGAGAAGCGGGGCAGCGAGCGCGTCCTTCCCCAGTGGAGCGCACACCGACCCCCGGGGAGCGAGCGCCAGCCCGC